TCTGTGCTCTAAGGCTTAGTATGGCCTCTGCTAATGCTGGGGACGCTTGAAGCTCTCTCACACTGATCTCACCTACACTTCTGATCAGCAGCCTATTTATCTGCAAGTTACGAAAATCTAGCGAGCGTCGTACCAGCCCCATTTAGGGTCAGCCTCTGAGAAACACTTTTTCCGACAGGCCCAGCCTCAGCAACTTCAATTGTGTGCCAAAGTTCAAGTGTGTGCTGTAAGGCTTAGTATGGCGACTGCTCATGTAGGGATAGATTGAACCTCATTTAGCCTGACCTCACCCACACTTTCGATCATGAGCCACAATAATTTACACTTTATGAACTCTTCTCTCAACAGGCCCACTTCAATTGCAACACAAGTTCAACTTTGTGCTCTAAGGCTTAGTATGGCCTCTGCTAATGCTGGGGACGCCCGAAGCTCTCTTACACTGATCTCACCTACACTTCTGATCAGCAGCCCTATTTATTTGCAGGTTACGAAAATCTAGCGAGCGTCGTACCAGCCCCATTTAGGGTCAGCCTCTGAGAAATACTTTTTCCGACAGGCCCAGCCTCAGGAACTTCAAGTGTGTGCCAAAGTTCAAGTTTGTGCTGCAAGGCTTAGTATGGTGACTGCTCATGTAGGGATAGATTGAACCTCTCTTAGCCTGACCCCACCCACACTTTCGATCATGAGCCACAATTATTTACACTTTATGAACTCTCTTCTCGACAGGCCCATTTCAGTTTCATCACAAGTTCAACTTTGTGCTCTAAGCCTTAGTATGGCCTCTGCTAATGCTGGGGGACGCTGGAACCTCTCTTACACTGATCTCACCTACTCTTTTGATGCTGGACCATGATTATTTGCACTTTACAACATCTAGCTAGTGTCGCACCGACCCCATTCAGGGTCAGCCTCTGAAAGCACTTTCCGACAGGCCCAGAGGCAGAAACAAGTGTGCACAAAGGTTCAGGGGAAGTTCTCACCTTGACAGTACCTCCTTCAGGAACCAATTGCCGCTGGCGCGGTGTTTGAGCTCGCCGCTGCCGAGGTATTGGCTGTGCAGGGCTCTGAAGCTGAACACTTCGGGCTCCTCCAGCAAAGCCATCGCAGTGGTTGAGGCTATCTGCTTCATGTTGAACGACACCTCAACCTGGAAAGCAGGAGTCCGCCCTGTACTGATGGTGCAGCTCTTGATGTCGCCGATGTGCCAGCGATCATCTTTGGCAAAGAAGATCCTGTACCCGGAGAAGTGGTCGGTGAACTCCGTTGGGTCCGGCATCTGAGTGACGAGGTTGTATCTGGGCGCAGAAGGAGCTGGTGGCGGTGGTGGTAGCGGTGCTGGGGCCAGCGCCAGAGGTGGAGGCGGGGGCGGCGGTACAGCCGCCCGAGCAGAAAGGGTGCGCCGAGCTCCATCTCCATAACGCACCACAAAGTGTTGACCGTTGGTGTCGACAAGTACGCCGCCGTCGTTGAGGACGGTCTTACCAGGCACTAGCCCGTATGAGGTGATGTCTGCCCAGCGGGTGTAGTTGAAGATGATCTCCTGCTGTGATGATGGTGTGGGACGGGGGGTGCAGTAGAGGGCCTTGTTCTTGCCCGTGGCAGGGTCGACCACGTTTGTGAGGATCAGCTTTGATGAAAACTTGGTTGTTCTCACCCAGGAGACCTGCACAGTACAGGAGCGATACAGGTGTATGGTCAGGTACAAACTTTGAGTACAGATGTAGTATACATACCAGCAAGTGTTATGTGGTAGCTGCACGCTGGATTCAAGCTGCTAGCACTGGAGATGTGTTACCGGTTCAATGTGCAATGCTGAGTTTGTTGGGAAGGTGCACTATGGCATGCAGATGCAAAATGAGGTGTTGCCGAATTGAGCTTACCTCGCTTTCGATTGTGGACTCTTCAAAGTCGAAGGTCTCGCCAACCGGACGCGATGGTACCGCCAGCGCCTTAATTCTCGCCTCTTCTTTCATGCCAATCTCCACATTCTCAGGACTACAATTGGGAACAAGAGTGCTGAAGTGCGTCTTGGCTCTCCCGTACAGGTGCTTGCTGGCACGAGCTGCCATGTTTTTGCCCACGATGTCGCTCAACATGGTGCCTGAGAGCGATGACAATGCAATGGCGCGTGCAGCGTCAACAGCAGCTCTTGTATAATACCAGCACTAGCCTGCAAGGGATGAACGTCAATACATGTTGTGACTGTGTTGAAGTTTTGTGAGATGTGCAGCATTATCCCTGCAATGAAAGTGTCCCAGCTATTGTAACTGTGTTGAAGTTTCAGCACAGCCTTTGCGAGAAGCGCAGCATTAGCCCTTCAATGTGAAATAGTCGCAACTATTGTAACTGTGTTGAAGCTTCAGCACAGCCTTTGCAAGATGTGCAGCATTAGCCCTTCAATGTGAAATTGTCGCAACTATTGTAACTGTGTTATAGCTTCAGCACAGCCTTTGCAAGATGTGCAGCATTAGCCCTGCAATGTGCAAGTGTCCCACCTATTGTAGCCATGTTGAAGTTTTCAGCACAGCCTTTGCGAGCTGTGCAGCATTAGCCCTGCAATGTGCAAGATGTGCATCATTAGCCCTGCAATGTGCAAGTGTCCCATCTGTTGTAGCCGCGCTGAAGTTTTCAGCACAGCCTTTGCAAGATGTGCAGCAGTAGCCCTGCAATGTGCAAAATGTGTCCCAACTGTTGTAGCTTTGTTGAAGTTTCAGCACAGCCGTTGCAAGATGTGCAGCATTAACCCTGCAATGTGCAAGTGTCCCACCTATTGTAGTCATGTTGAAGTTTGCGAGATGTGCAGCATTGGCCCTGCAATGTGCAAGGTGTGCATCATTGGCCCTGCAATGTGCAAGTGTCCCACCTATTGTAGCCGTGTTGAAGTTTTCAGCACAGTCTTTGCGAGATGTGCAGCATTAGCCCTGCAATGTGTAAAGCCACAGCATGAGTGACTGCGTTGAAGTTAGCAGCATGGCCTTTGCAAGATTGTTCAGCATTATCCCTGCAATGTACAAGTGCCCTAATTACTGTGACTGCGTTGACGTTTGCAGCATAACCCGTGCAAGATGTGCAGCATTATCCCTGCAATGTAAACGTGCCCCAATTATTGTGACTGCGTTTAAGTTTGCAGCTTGGCATTAGCAAAGTGCAGCATTAGCTCTGCAAGGTGCAAATCTACAACATTTGTGACTGTGTTGAAATGTGCAGCAAGAGTCCTGCAGGATATGCAGCACTAGAATTGCAATGTGCAAGTGCCCCATGTTCCTGTGCGTTCTCTGGAGCCACAACACGCACTGACAGCAGCTGACACACTTGATACGATTGAGTTGTGATCATAATACGACCATCCAGTATACAAGTTTTGCAATATTGCCACTGCTGTCATTTGCAGAATGCTTTAGCGCAATTCATGTGGTCGCTACTAGCGTGCTGCTTCACTGTGTTAAGGAAAGCCAACACCGACCATCGACCAGCTCACGGTGACCTGTAAGCAGTGCTCTGATGTGCTGGTCCCGTCCTGCAGAGCTTGTCAAGTCTTTTGGCCTGTGCAAGGTAGAGCAGCAGGAGACGAAAGTATGAGCAGCAGGCCAGTACTCTTGCTGTGTTGCTTAGCGCAGCGTTTGGAAGAGCTCCTGCCAGCCCTGTTATGCGAGTGCTACAAATTGTTGTGAATGAGCAGCAGGCCAGTACCTCTGCTGTGTTGCTTAGCGCAGCGTTTAAAACAGTCCTGCCAGCCCTGTCATGCGAGTGCCACAAATTGTTGTGAATGATGCATTAGGCCTGCATGGTGAAGATCCAGCATCCATCCTGCAAGGTGCAAGGGCTACACGATGTTCTGTCTCTGTCAAACCATGCAGCAATAGCCCTAGGCTGTATGGTATAGGTCCAGCAGTCAGCCCTCCTGCAAAGTGCGAGAGCTAAAAGGTGTGAGCAGCAGTAGCACCCTCAGCAGCAACAGTACACCAACAGCAACAACAGCAGCAGCACCACCACAGCTGGCAGCAGCAGCAGCACAGGCTGCTGCAGATCACACACAATAAGGCTCGGGAGCGGATAGTCCTGTAGAGCAGCCAAGATGCTGCTCTGTGCAGCGACTACAGCGCTGGCTTTGTAAAGCGCAGACAAGAAGCGGTAGATTTGCAGAGTGCATCATTTAGTGCGTCCCTTATAGAGTGCAGATGTGTACCGCTTGCCTCAAGTGCCAGCACAAACCGCGCTAGCCTTGAAGATTGCGGATGATCCGCTGCCGCTTGGCCGTGTAAGAGCCATGTTCAGCGGGCCTTGCGTTGCAGTGTGCAGATAAGACCAACACCACAGCTAGGAAAGAGCCATGACACGCTGTCTTTGCGTGGTAGACTGCAGATACCGCCAACGCCCAAGCTAGGAAAGAGCCACGGTAAGCAATCCGTGCGTCGAAGACTGCAGATCAGACCAAGGCTACGCCGACTCTAGTCCTGGAACAAGCAAGCTCACGCACCTAATAACTTGGCACTTACCGCAGGCCTTGCGGTTGATGTCTTGGGTCTTACACGCAGGCCTTGATGCCGCAGGACTATGCCGCCGGTGCCGTGGTGTTAGAGCACACACTTCACGCCGCGGCGGGCAAGTGCGTGGATGTGGAAGTGTGATGGACGCAGTAGTCCACGCGCTTTCCGTTGAGTTGACCAGTAGTGCGTGCATTATGTTGCAGCGGGTGTGCAAGTTACCGCACTAGTGTCATGCCACTTTGATATCCCAACACTGACCCCGCGAAAACCCTTCAAAATCTGGAACTATTTGCGCCACCCCCTGATATCCCCAAACTATGCACACGTCATGGACCGGACAGTCCCAAAACTTCTCAACTTTGACAAAAGGTCGCGTCCATGCATGGCACACAGCGTTTTTGCAGGTATGCGTTGAGTTTTCTAGAGGTGTGTGCTGCATCACTTTATATCTCCTGTGCCTGTCGTGGCATCACGCAAAGAGTGTGCGCCCAGGTGGTCAATGCAACGCATTTCGACCTGTACGGCTCAATGGATAGAGTTTCAGTCTCCGAAGCTGAAGGCTGCAGGTTCGTGTCCTGCCGAGATCGCCATTGTGGTGGTGTGCCAACCACAGAGGGTGAAAGTGTGTGAGACCCAGTCTCAACCTTGACTTGAAACAGCCGGAAATGCCCACTGCCTGGTGCCGTGGGAGGTGGACCGGAGCGCCCTCCCCAAGTGCAATATCACCCTGATATGCAAGCGTGGCTAAACAGGTAGAAGCAGAAGAAGCTGTGCCATGTTGAAGGTTAAAGTCGTGTCTGATTACTGCACAAAAGGCATTCGCAATGCAAGCCCTACTTCAACTACTGCTCCGCCTAGGGTTGCCTCACTACAAGAGCAGTGTGCGAGTGGATTCTAAGCAGACGACGCCTACACAACATACCACACATGGCAACAACATTAAGTGTCAATGAAATCTTATAACGCTGCTGTTGCTACCTGATGCTGTTAAAACAGCCAAGTCAACAATCACGTGCTGCCATACGTCAGTGTATATACGACAGTGTCATCATGAATCTGCATGCCCACGTTGCACGTTTGACAGTCAGTAAATAAACGTGGGAAACGTGGAGCAGAAAACGACAGCACCGACATGCGCCTCCACCTCTTTGCATAATGGCAGCTGATGCACGGCAGGTGCAGCACTCGTGCAGCACAGACTGTGACCAATTAGGGGTCAAGGGAGTGGCTCTTGAAGTTTGACGATTGCATGCAGTTGGTTGGTGGGGTTCTCATTTCCCAGATCTGCCGTGGCATTGAGACACCATCTGCGGCCGCTGACTGTCATTGACCGACGTACCGCACCTTGCGAAGAACAACACAGAAGGAGGTGAGCATCGGTGTGTATTGCAAGTGGCAACTTCCAGCACGTGAGCGCCGCGCCGATGGGGACGTGTCTGCCTGGCGACACCATCACACCCCTGGTTGTTGTCCCGATGCTTCTCGCTTGGCTACTTGTGCGCGAGCACACGGCCAGCACTGCTGGGCTCTGCAGCTATGAAAGGAGCGCAGGACTGTCTCGGATCGCCGCGTGTGTGTGTTTATTCCCCCCTTGTGAGCGACTTAGGCTGGCGCCACCTTTGCGGCCTCCGCCAAGCATTCCCCCCTTGTGAGCGACTTAGGCTGGCTCCGCCTTTGCGGCCTCCGCCAGCACAAAGGTGATGCAGACCAATCAGCAGCTCCGAGGCAGTTGTCAGGCGTGCTGACCGGCCTTGCATGTCCCTCACTTTACCTTGTGAGGCCTCTTTTTGCGGTTCGCGCCAACACAACTGTTATCAGAAATGGGTTCACGTCGCCCCTGCTGCCTCTTCTTCTCGCGTGCACGATCCCTCAAGTCATGACCATCTGGAGGGAGATCAAGGTTGTGGCGGAGATTGTGCTACTGCCTCTGGCCATCTTTGGGGGTTTTCGATCACTGGGCAGTACTCCGCTTGCCCAGGGCAACTTCAGTCACAGCCTACAGCACGCTTTCAATGGCACCATCAGCAATCCACTGCGCCTGCCGGCCAAACTCGAGGTGAAGTTTGCACTGCGGACGGGTCCCAATGGCGACGATGACGGGGTCCGCAGTAAAGCTCCGGCGCGGCAGACGAGCTGCAGACGCACCCGCGTACGCAAGCATACAACGCTAGTCGTGCCGCCCGCTCTGTGGTAGGCGTGCTGCATTGCGGCTGACACTGCCAGCGCCGGTGATGATCATGGTGCATCTGCAGGCAAGTGACAGGTGCCAGATGTAGCTTACGGCTTTGGCCGTCACGGTGCTGCCCTGTAGAGATTACTCTGTGGCAGGAAGCGCGAAGTGTGGCGGATGCGCGTTGTTTATTTGTTGTGGTAATTTGCTCTCAGAGAAGCGCCTTCAAGATGGTGTGCGCATGCGCACTCAGATCCGCGCTGCTTGCACGCAGAACCCGCGCGCACTGCGCGTTGCGGCCCATGTGCGCCACCAGCCCACAATCCATCTCAATGTACCCTGCTGTTAAACTCCCTTGGGCCAGCTGAGTAAGGTGGTCCTGCGGTCTGGCATTCAGTGCGAGACTGCAAAGCTTACCTATGGCCTGCCTAGACGTGGGCTTGCCTTGTCTAGGGTCAGCTCTTGCGCAGCCATTTATGGTTTGTCTGCTCGCGCAATAGAGCGGCTTTGAAGCAGTGAAGCCTGCACATCAACGCGCACACCAATGGCATGTCTGACTACTTCACTGTGTCATCGCCCTCTCTATGACCACTGCCTGCTCTGCTCGTTGCGATGCTGGTGCCGTCACTTGGTGCATTTGGTGCGCGCATATGTATGGCGTGCGCGCGTGTTTTCTCCAACACTCTGTTGTGATGGACAAGGTGACGCGGAGCGTCGTCAACGGTTGTGTTTGTTGTACAATGTGTTGTACCCGTCATTTCAGGACGGCCATGTGCAGACGGCTCTCTTTGCATATGCAAGTGGCATACCTCATGTCCAAACATCTGTGCCTGCAGGTAGATTGCGTCGCTGTTTCTTGTGATGACGAACACACCGCCGGTCTGACACGGGACTGGTCTATCTGGAGCAGAACTTCTTCAAGCTGCTGGAGCCGTGGCGGCCAGCACAGATCTGCCATTACTACGATACCGCACTGGAAATTTGCGATGCAGTACAGACACCCTCAATGCAGGCCTGAGTGCGGCCATGCTATCTTTTGGCTGCAGCGACCAAATCTGTCCAGGTCTGACTTCATGGCGACACAATGATTGCGTCAACGCATGCATGGCATACAGTGTTCTTGCGTGTATGCATCGAGTTCTCTGGAGGTGTGTGCGTCACTTTGAATCGTCAGCTGTTGTGGCATCACGCAAGTGAAGCGTGCGGGTAGATTTCAGGCAGACAAAGCCTGCATACAGAGCATACTATCATATGTGGTAACAACACTTTGAGGGCGTAAATGCTAGAGCACCACAGCAAGACGCTACTGCAGGGCGCAGCACTGTCTCGGATTGCTGTGTGATACTATGTTTATCCCCCTTAGACCTAGGCTCGTGCGATCGCGCTACCTTTGCGGTCTCCACCCTGTGCATCCCCCGCCTGAATAGTAGCACTAAAGGGTGATGCACCCCACTCAGCGACTGGGAGGCGCATTAATCTGAGTCCCTCATTCTACAGTACCCTAGCTGTCAGGCCTGTTTCTGGAGTCCGCCCTCACTTTATGGCAGATGGACTCACACCTGCTGCTTAATCATTTTCTCTGGCATCCTCTCAGGTGATGACGATATGGGAGGAGGTGAAGGATGTGGCGCGCATCGTACTTGTCCCTCTGGCTTCTATGGGGGTCTTTCGGTCCTTGGGGGATCAACCTAGGCACCACCCTCAGCAACACGCCGCTCGCGCAGGGCACTACCCCGCTCGCCCAGGGCAACCTCCACTTGACATTCGAGGGAACCATGACGAATCCGCTGCGACTTCCCGCCCAGCTCGAGGTGCAGTTCACACCGCTGACGGCGTAACGAGAAGGTTCGCGTCAGATTTCCGGCGGCACGACCAGCGCCGCATGCTCTCACACGCGCTTGCTGCTCGCTGCCCGCGCCGGGAATCTGACGGCGAAAATTTCGATACGCCCCGTCAGCGGTGGGAACTGCACCTCAAGCTGGACGGGGAGTCGCAGGGGTTCGTCATAGTTCCCTCGAATGCGAGGTGGAGGTTGTCCTGGCGAGCGGGTGTCGCCCCTGGGCAAGCGGCGTTGCCCAAGGATCAAACCCCCCCAGAGATGGCCACAGGGACAATTACGATGCGCGCCACTTCCTTCACCTCCGCCCATATCGTCATGACCTGAGCGAGCGCCAGAGAACATAAAAGAGGCAGCATGAGCATGAGCAGCGAGGTGAACCCATTACGACAAGGGTGTAGAGCAAGGCCTGAGGGTGCAGTGAGACTTCAAGTGCGCTCAGCACGTCTCTGCCGAATCGCTGAGCGGTCTACATCATCCTGTTTTGGTGCTGCCAAACAGAGAGGCGCGGTGCTTTCAGTAGACAATTTCAGTAGGCAAGCGCTTCATCGGAACAACTTGCTGATGGTCGCCAAACAATATCCCTATCAGCGCTCACATGATAAAATGCAACTGTACTATCAACGCCGTCGCACACCTCTCCTGCCATGTCGTTCTCGCGACCGTGGTGGGGCAACTCGTGACCAACTTCAAAACCATAACCATCTGATGCCACAGCACAACCAGTGTGCCACGAGGGCGTTGTTCGCTGCGCTTGGCGTTTGTTGGGCGGGTCGTGCGGGATTTGCAGGCGAGCAGCCCGTGTCGCGTGCCTACAGACGGGGGCGCCTTATCTTGCCTGCCAGCTGCAAGCGGACTCTCTCGCGCACACACGGTCGCACACAGAAACCAATCTCTGCTGCCCAGAAAGACACTTCGGCCTGTCGCGGAGCTGCGTGTGCCAGGAAGGAGGGAGGACTGTGGCGCGCCTGCGACACGCGACCTAGCCGCAGCTTTAGCGGCTTTATCAGCAGCATTGGCAAGCGGGTAAGTCGTAAAACGAAAAATCTGTGTGCGCTTGGTTGGCTTGGCGCCTCGCTGCACCGGGCTGGCGTGCAACGCGTGGTGTGAGAGGCGGATCAACATATACGCATCAGTGGTGCCTTGCATCCACGCGGACTTCAAGTCGTTTGAGCGTACGCTGAGGCGCGGGGCAAGCAGGACACATCAGCTGAAAAAAGCGAGTGGCAGTAGTAAACACGTGGGGAATGACGCTACAGTACAGCCTTGATCGTCACCCAATGTACAGCAGCGTAGTGGATAGCTGTGCGCAGACACTAGTGTGCTTGTGCTGTCCAAGGCTCAACGCAGCGCTGCTGCTGCGTGAGTTTCTGGGCGTCTCTTGCACTGCTGCTGCTGCTGCCTGCGCAGCTGAGAGCTCGGCTCTGTCGTGTAGCAATCATCTGAGCTACGTCTACGCAGGACGGCGCACACCTGTTCGTTTGCTAGATCCAGCTTGAAGACTCATCGACGCAGCTTTCTTCATTGCCAATTTTGATGTCCTCATAGCGATGACTGTGCGCTGAGCTCTTTCAATTAGA